TTTTGCTGTGTAACGCTAGAGCGCTGCAACTATCAGCAAAAATGCGTGCTGTGACGACTTTGTCTGTGTATGTGGGCATGTTTGTTTATCTGCATGTATGTTCGTCTGTCCGAGTATTTCAGCTTGGTAACCAAGCAAGCTTAGATGCTGAAATCTTGTCATGGTCTTTGGCTAAGTGCAATCCCAGAAAGCTACATAAATTTTCATGCACATACTGCAACTTATGTGCGAACTCACGAATGTTAGTCGAAAAAATTGCTAATTCGGGAACGAAAAGAGCCAGGAACATGAAACTTTGAGACGATTTTACTTGCCTACAAATGCAAAATTTTAAATCCATCTCCGTAGTTCGCCTGGGTTCGATGAACGACCGATCACATAATAATTTAAGGTAATGATGCGTGTTAGAGGTTAAGATTTTGTGCGGCTCGGTGCTGCAAGGCTACCACCGTCGGCTTTTCCACCTTGCATGTTAGAAAAGGCCGAAATGTTTCAATCTGTAACAAAGTGTGTTTCCACATGCTAAAAGGACATAACCTCATCGACAAGCCTAGTGCGCCGTTAATTGGGTTAACAGCAGATATTCGCTAGAAAGAGTTATACATAATTTATGACCGCACCCACTATGCTGATATGCACCTCTATTCATCTGCACATATAAGTTTGGCTAGCGTGACTTGTCGATAACCAGCACCTGTGAGAATAAAATCATTGACGATGCACGCCAGGCGAGCCCGTGCTATCGTGGTTTTTGCAGTGTTGCGAGCTTTAGTAAAATCGCTTAAGATCATAGTAGCTAGAATTTATGACATATAGATTCTCGGAGTTCAGAAAGTTAATTGTGCAGTTACGTAGGGAACATTCTTTTAAAATTTCAGCCTCCCAACTTTGCTGGCTCCCGAGTTAGCGATTTCCTCTCCAAAAAATTCCACGGAGCTTTGCATGAGAACCGTGTACAATTGGGGGTTGAATTTCAAAACTTTAAGTTGCACGTAGCCCATGTAAAACTACAGCCTTCCTCCCTTTCTAGCTTCCGAGTTAGCGATTCTACTGCCATAAGTTTCACATGCTCATAAGCGGGACCCAGGCGTCCGTGAGGGTTGGTACCGTGATCTTGGGATGCACTTAGTCGGGAAACCCACAAGCAAAATTTCAGCGCCGAAGCTTACTTGGTTGCCGAATTGAAATACCCAGACATACGCACACAAATGCGCACCAGGATCGTCACAATATGCGTTTTTGCAGTTGAATATTTTTAACCCAGGCTGGAATGCACCGGGCTTGCCGGAACAATCATGCGTTTTTGCACTAAGCTTGAATTACTCAGGTCGTTAACTAAGTGAATGTTATTGCTTTATTCTTACCTTGTATGCTCACTAGCGTAAATCTTAAATTTTGCATAAAGGAAATGAGCAGTTTCCGCTTAACGGTTGTTCTTTGAAAGTAACCTAGCTGTTCAGAAAGCAATTTTCCTGCTAAACTTTTAGGCGCCCGTATGTGAGAATCGCACATACCTGGAGGCTGAATTTGAAATATTTAAGTTGCATTTGGAAAGAAACCATCCCTCTAAAATTTCAACTTCCTAGCTGTTCTGGTTCCAAGTTAATAATTTTTCTGCCAAAATTTTCTTATGCCCGTACATGGACTTCCCATGTATCTGGAGGCCGAATTTGAAATCTTTGAGTTGTACGTTAATGAGGAATATCCCTTTAAAATTTCAGCCTTTTAGTTTTTCTGGTTACCGAGTTAGCAATTTTCCCGCCAAATCTTGCATTTGCCAGCGCGTGAGAACCACGAACACCTAGAGGATGAATTTTAAATCTTTAGCTTACACACGCAAAGGTTCCAACACTCCAACTTGGCTGATTCACGAGATTGCTTCCCCGCCAAAAAATTTCATGTTTTTTTAAGAGCGACCCAAGCGCATACGAGTGATTATGTTAAAACGGGAGGGCCACACATGCTGTGGGCACATACTCCCGAAGTTTAATCTTTCTGTCTTTTCTAATTCTGGGGTTGAAAGTGGGTGACAAAAAGTGCGAACACGCAGACACACACATACAGACGCATAATGAACTAATCCCTCTATGAATTCGTTCATCCATTTTGGTAGTAAATTGATGTTGCCGCATGCCAGGGTATCAAACACTGCCAACGGCTTACTTCTTTCCAAATCACTGATTAGGGAGACATCGTGAAGCCGTGCGAGCGACGCTGGCACGTGATATTATCGCTCGTGCAACTTTTCGGTGCTTCAAACAGCCACAGTGCAGGAGCAAGAGGCCCAGGGGAAGAGTGGCTTCCGACAAGAATAATAGTGACTAACATTGAGCATATCCGTGTAATCCTGGTCAATTTCGAATTTCATTTTCAAATGCTCTGGATATTGTTCTTCGATGTCTGAATACGCCTCAGTATTGACTCCCAACTCGCTGTGCTCCTCGATTTCCTTCTTGATGTCAACAGTGTCTTCAGATTTAACTGCCACTTCCAAATATTCCTGATTTTTTAATTCTGCTGCTGTAGATACACCTGTGTTTTCTTCTAATTTTATTTTTACGAGGTTTTGGTCGAACATATAATGGATGTCCTGAAATGAGACAGTCAGCTCATCACTTGAAAAACTTAAAAATTTGAATAAGCTTTGATAAATGACCCTTATTTGAGCCTGCTCGTTGCACCACCGTAAACAAATTTTCCATTCTATCTAAGAGCAAATACGTTAACAACTTTGGATGCTGACCCTATTAAGAAAGACAGGTTATTTATTTTAAGCACAATTCCAGATGCCTTTTGATGTCTGTAAAATGTACATAAATCGTTTTGGATGTCAAATGATGGTGTTATTACTTCTCTCTTTCCAGTAGTTGTTTCGATCTTTGGGCGTGATTTACAGAAAAGGATGAAGGGCGGTTTCCTGAGGGAGAAACAAAAAATTGTCGCTCCCCTCCTTCTCCTCTTCCCCCTTGGATCCACCAATGGGTGTAAATAAGTCTTATTTTTTCCCAAACAGTGAAAATTTGCTGGCTATTTAGTGCAAAATTAGCAGAAATAAAAACAAGAGAAGAATAATTAAAATTGATTTAAGTCATGTAGGAACTGGCGATAAGGATTTTTAAAATATGCAACTGATTTGGTCCCACGGCAAAATTACAGTGTTCATTTTGTCCTATGCTTTATTTCACAGAAAAAAGAATGAACTTGAGATGTAACAAATGCTCACCGTATCGTTGCCGTATGCTGTAAACAGCATTCCGAGAATAGGAACTGCGAGAATTAGTTTTCTGCTAATCATTGTTTTACCTGAAATCAGGAAAATAATATGCGGGTCATAATTTCGTAAAAGCAACAAAAATTCAGCTCTGAAACGGAGTAGTTATAGCTTGAAAACGAAAAGCCAGCAGAGGAAGTGCCATCAGGTACACATTGTCTCAGAAGAGGAAGATTTAAAAAAAGCTCCAAGCTGGTCTTGGAACGTAGGGATCA